TCCTAGTAGTATGGCCAGGAGCCCCTAGTAGCTTCTTGGTACTTGTAGTAAGAACCTCTAAGACCAGATTAGACTATTTTCTAACTATTAGTCTATTTCAATAATTCTAACTAATAGTTAGAATTCAAATAAACTAATAGTATAAACTAGGGGATAATTTAAAGTCTATTTTGTTGAATAGACTCGAGTCTATTTTGCTAAACAACCTTGGAATGTCAAGATTATGTTGGAAAAACCTGAGATCTTGTAAAGACATTTTGTTAGTTCATTTTAGGTGTTTGTGGTCACACTTTTGAAAAACACAAACTTGAGCAATGTGTGTGGCCCAAGTAACATTGAGCAGAGCCTAAGTAACATGGCCTAGGTAACCGTACATGGCCTAAGTAACATGCAAATTTTCTTTCAAACTCACATCACAAAGTATTTTTGGTGTCAAGTGTTGTGGAAGGCTCACAAGCTTCCAGAGGATCAGCAAGACTGACAAAAGGGTAGATGTTGTAGTTTCATGAAGAAACAAGTTTTGTCTATGTTTGTCCTAACTAGCATCGCGCACATCTCCTTTCTTTGCTTTGAGCACCTGTGGCACACATGGCCGTCTCTAAGGGAATGAAGGTGTACCCTTCCAGTGGTGTGATGGACCTGCAAAGAGTGCTGCCAAAGGAAATGAACAGAGGAGCTGACAAAGATCTGTTTTCTTGTTTGAAGCATCCTACCAATGCTCAGTGGAGTTGGAAGACAAGTTCTTGTCCTCAATGGATGGCTCAATGTCATGAAATGTTGGTGTATTTCTTGAAGATTGCACCAAATGGGCTACTATAGGTCAGCCAAAGTTAAGCTAGCACTACAGAGGATGATCCAAGACTGTTCAAAAATGGTCAACAAAACACACTTCCATACAGCTGACTTTGTGGACCAGGTAGATCAAAGGATTCGTGTTTTGCTTGCACAAGCCAGAGGCATCAAGAAGAACCATGAAGCTTACGCAACAGCAATGAGGAAGGCCACCTTCGATTCCAAAGAGAAGGTTGACACCATTTTGGAACACCTGCAGTTGGACGGAGCTGATGACAGTACTCCTTCGACAGTACTCGCTCCACAGCTGATGACAGTACTCCTTGCATTTTACTTCACCAAATAGGTCAATATTACGTATACAAGCCCAAACAATATCTCAATAAATATATGGAAATATTGCATTTTAAAAAGTCAAATTCAACTATGACACCAAAGTGACACAAAAGTGACACTAATAGTGCAACTTTTATTTTGAAACTGCAACTTTTTCAGTGTAGTTTTACATAAAAGTGACACTTTAAGTGTCAGTTGCAATGTATTTGTGTCGGTTTTGTGTCGGTTTTGTGTCGCTTTTGTGTCGGTTTTGCGTCGCTTTTGTGTCGCTTTTGTGTCGGTTTTGTGTCGCTTTTGCGTCGGTTTTGTGTCACTTTTGTGTGTGTCACTTGTGTCGCTTTTGTGTCACTTTTGTGTCACTTTTGTGTCGCTTTTGTGTCGGTTTTGTGTCACTTTTGTGTCGCTTTTGTGTCACATTTTGTGTGTGTGCGTCACTTTTGTCGCTTTCGTGCCGCTTTTGTGTCACTTTTGTGTCTCTTTTGTCACTTTTGTGTCACTTTTGTCTTACTTTTGTGGCACTTTTGTGTCGCTTTTGTGTCGCTTTTGTGTCAGTTTTGTGTCAGTTTTGTGTCACTTTTACGTCGCTTTTGTGTCACTTTTGTGTGTCTTTTGTGACACTTTTGTGTCAGTGTTCAGTACTTTTATGTCAGTGTTATAATATGTTTCATGTTTTGCTTACGTCTTTTGTGATTTTGTTTGTTAAGTTCGTGTAGGTTAGTTGAAATGGCTAAATGAAAAACTAGGCAACTACATGCACAGTAGTATGAGTCCACTGTGGTTATCTATCTTGAAGCATTTGGCAACTTGTATTATGTTTGTTGTGTTGTCTTTTGTGGCTCCAGAGTTGCTTTGTTGCAACAAAGTGTTCTTGTGCATATGACAGTAAAAATATGTAAAAATAAGCAGCACAAAGTAAAGGACACAAAACAAACCGACGCAACGAAAGACAAAACGTGACATAGAACAACTCAAACATAAAAGTGAATCTAGGTAGCATTCAGTGGGGGTCTAAGTAGCACTTGGTGACCAGCCACGGCTTCACCAAACAAGAGGGAAGCAGCTACAGAAGAAGCAGCTACCCCTGCCAAAAGTGCACGGCAGGCTTTGGCACCTACGACACCATGAAAAGGCCAGCAGTATCAGTCAAGCCTCATGCAAAAAGCAAGGCAAAAGCACCACAGCCAAAGGCGAAGCCAACCATAGAGAAGAAGAAGGAGAAGGAACAGAAGGCAAAAGCCAAGAGTAAGCCCAAAGCAGTTCCAAAAAAGCATGAAAAGGACAGCTTTTCAGACAAAGTGCAGAAGTGGAAGCTGAAGGAAGACCACAAAGGTGATGAGCCAGAATCACATGATGCTGGTGAAAGTGGTAAAGGCGATGCAACAGTAGCAGCAAAGAGGGACTTGTCTAAGACAAGAAAATACAAGAGGTTGTCCGATGCAAATGCAATTCACCAACACAACTCAGAACATGCACATGGCCTCAGTAACAGTACATGGCCTATGATAAGTAACATGCACGTTTGTTTTTCACAATATAACACCACAAGTTTAGGTATATGTTTGTATCCTGATGTTATTCTATAGAATAACCTCAAGGTTATGTTTCAAAATAGACTATTTCTCAGTCTAAATTCAAGTCTATTTAAAATAGACTAATAGTTAGAAAATAATCTAGAAAAGCTGTTCTAACTATTAGTTAGGAAATAGTCTAATCTGGTCTTAGAGGAATGCTCCGAGTAGCGACGCCAGGAGCAGCGTCCTTGCTCCTAGTAGTATGGCCAGGAGCCCCTAGTAGCGTCCTTGCTCGTGGTAGTAAGGCGAGGAGCCCCTAGTAGCTTCTTGTTATTAGTAATAAGAATGCTCCTAGTAGCGATGCCAGGAGCCCCTGGCCCTAGTAGCGTCCTTGCTCCTAGTAGTATGGCCAGGAGCCCCTAGTAGCTTTGTGTGACTAGTAATAAGAATGCTCCTAGTAGCGATGCCAGGGGCCCTAGCGTCCTTACTCCTAGTAGTAAGGCCAGGAGCCCCTAGTAGCGTCCTTGCTCCTAGTACTAAGGCCAGGACCCCCTAGTAGTTTTTTGTTACTAGTAGTAGAGCCAGGAGCTACTAGTAGTTTCTTGCTCCTAGTAACGATTCCCCTTGTTCCTAGTAGTTTCTTGTTACTGGTAAAAAGGAACTACTGATAGCGATGCCTTTGTTACTAGCAGCGATGCCCTTTGCTACTAGTAGTTTCTTTGCTACTTGTGTCTTAGTCTTTATTTGAGGATTTGTTGTATATTTTTTGGGCATACGCATTTGGTCACTCTGTGACGTTGCTGTTAGGTGGTGTGTTTTCCATGTGTTTGGACGTATAACGCACAACTATAGATTTACCTATGACCTACCTGACCTAGAGGCACCTGGACACCTGGACATAAAAGATAATGAACAAGACAAAAATTCTGTAACACGGGAGATCTCAGATGGGCTTGAAAGGTGTCTTTGCCAACTCCAGCTGCTGAAGCGCTGGCCCAACCAGACGGGCTCGTGTTGACCACCACAACCACCACAACCACACAGTCCAGGCCCTTGGTGAGAAGAGCTGAGGAGTTGGGTCAGATCACATTGAACAGTTTTTGAACTGAGTCTTTTGAATAGTAATTGAGAACACTTTGCATTTTCTACAGCTCCGCCCTGAACTGCAACATGAGCTGGTCTGACTTCGGGTAGCAGTCACCCTAGTAAGGCCGGTTTGGACTCCTGCCACCCAGCCAAGTGAAGGGTGAGGGCCATAGCCAGCGGAATTGCAAGTTCTGGCATTGACAGCAAAGCAAACATGTCAAAGAAAAAACGGACTGGTTGAGAGTTGAGATCTGCTCATGAGAGCCGCATTTTGCTCAAAACCAGCCAATCTCCAAACCGCAACATGTGGACATGTCATGCAAACCGACAACCCTCGGCAAACATGAAAGCTGGCTTGAGGGCCGATGTCGAATCAAGTCCAACTGAAGGTCGAATCAGTCGGGGAGTGGTGATGCCAATCTTGCAGATGACACTGGCTTTGATGTGGGACTCTGAGACACCTCCAGATGCCTTTTTTTCCGGTGCTGCAACACCTCTCTCTCTCTCTCTTTCTCTCTCATAATTTTCTTCTTCAGCTCTCCTCTTTGAGTGAAGCTTTCTGGCTGAATCAATAAACAGATAGATACCCATCATGCTTGTCCCCTTTTGCGACCTGATTGCAGAAGGTGTCCGGTCGGTCTTCCCAAGATTCTCTCCCAAGATTGGAAAGCGTTGGATCATGATTTGTGCTCCTTTCTTTGGTACTGCGGTCACACAAGGTGCAACTGAGCAGCGTCCCCTTTTGTTGCTTTGGTTGCTTTGCTGCTTTTCTGCTCTTGTTGCTTCTGTTGATTTTTGTTGCTGCCTGGTCTACTGTGCTGCATTTGTTCCTGTTCAGTCTGCATTACTGCACAGCTTGCACACACTCGTGTTTCATATATTCTTTAGCTGCGCAAACACATTAGACAGAGAAGCTTCAATACGCTTTGCGCATATGTATGTCATGGTGACATTTAGAGGAGGAAGGGGCCATTGCAAGGTAGCAAACCTTTTGCGAGGCACCCGACGAAACATTTAAATTTAGAGGAGGAAGTCGCCATTCCAACATAGCAGACCTTTTTGTGAGGCACCCGAGGGTAATATTTAGAGGAGGAAGGTGCTATTCCAACATGGCAGACCTTTTGTGAGCCACCTGACAGTAAAATTTAGAGGAGGAAGGAACCATTCCAACACAGCTGCCCATTTATGAGCCACCTGATGGCATGATGGTGAAATTTAGAGGAGGAAGGTGCCATTCCAACATAGCAGGCCTTTTGTGAGCCACCCGAGGGTGAAATTTAGAGGAGGAAGGTCCGCAGTTCCTTTCCCCAGGTTGCCGTAAATAGCAGCAAACTGTGAGACCCAACGGTTTTGAAAAATGAAAATCTGAGTTAAAAGTGCACCCTATTCCAAGTGGCCTGAGGCTCGTTGGATTCTGCTGATCATCTCCATCCCGTTGGCCTTCGCGCTCGCCATTTTCGTAAGCCGTAGCCTGCGCCGCTACTTCACTGCCTCCCATGAGACGGTGACTGAGGCAGACAAGGCCAGGCGTGAGAGGGTCAGGCAGGGGTGAGTCGAAGCAAAGACTTATACATGATCACGATCATGACACTATTTCGTTCAACTACATCTTCATTATTTTTCAACGGTTCCTACCTTGGTCTCAATTGAAAAGGGTGCCAGTGCATGCTGACGCCAAAGGTTTTGCTGCAGCTTCAGTGCTGAGTTTCTTCACTAGAGTCACTAGCAGAAGCGACCAATCTACCTGCCTGAATGCCCTCATTGGGAGCCCTGCACACAGTTCAATGTGGACGTCCAGTAAGTCTTGGAGTCTCCGTCTATAGTGTCTCCGCTTCGCCTTAGGTGGACTTTCAGTATGTCTTGAGGGAGGAGCGCCTCAGCGATGATACAGCCGGTGACGTGAGCCTCAACCAGGCGACGGGTGAGGAGATGACCAGGCTACGACGTTTCCCTCAAGGAAAACGGGATGAACATGGACATCGTACCACCGTAGCTAACTGCTACAGCGCCCGCCCAGGTTTCTCAGAGTACACATTTGAAGGTGATCCGCTGTAGGGAATTGACCGCGGTTGATTTTATGTTTCCCTTCTCCCTCCTGACTCGTCTCACAACAACATCACCCTCATACAGTATCACAAGGAAAGGATGTGGTTGGGGACGGACCTTCCCTCCCAAAACCCATATTGTATCTAAATTTATTGTTGGGCCCCATATGTCTCATTGCTGTGGCATCGGCGGTGGACAGAGCACCAACTTCGGTCGCCTTTTGCCATTTGCCCCCTCATTCTAACTCATCATAGGCTGTGCCAGGCTTTGGGTAGAACCGGTTAGAAATTAGAGTGAAGAGATCGTGCTGCTCTCACAGTGCCAGCAGGTCAAGGGCCATGAGCGGAGGCAAACGATGCGCGCGCAGCGTGAAGATCTTCATGCCGCCATGACCACAGGCACGATGTGCACCAGAAATCAGATTATTTACAGTAGCATTATATATATATAGCTGCCTATTTGAAGATTTTGTTTGAGTTTCCAAGGTGCCTAAACCTTGGCGTCGTTATGTTTTAATCGCATGCACAGGTGATGTTGTTATACGGACCCTGAATGGGTAAAGGAGCGGTCGCTTGTAAGGCATCGGGTTTGGTCTTCGGGACGCAAGGCATTTTAGAAGCTGCTGCCGCAGAGGTGGAAGCGGAGACAGAGCAACCGGAGGATGAGGTGCACAACCACACACACACACTGTTCCACTTGGATTTCTACTCATCATAGTGCTTTCGGCCTGTTCAAACATGCGATCAGCAGTGTCTTTCACTGGATTACAGGAGCGAACGTATGACCTTGCAAAGCTGGGCGACCAAAAGCAGATGCCGACGATAGGCATCCCATGGGTGGAATTGACCGACATGGGCTGTTCGAATTTGTTGCTCGTGGATGCTAGTAGGCTCAATCATTGAGACTTGGGTGACCTGGGATGGGGTTGTTCTAAATAGAATCTAGTAGGACATGTTTGCAAATGTTGCACGGGCTCCACTTTCGTGAGGCCTAGGCTTAGAGACTCTTCAGAATCCTGAGAGACGTGTGGAATCTGAGTGTGGAGCAGCCATGTGGCACTGACATTGCAATTTGACAAACATACAATTCACCAGATTTGAATGGAAGGTGTCACATTGACTGACATGTTTTTTTCATGGTCTCGGTAAATGTCTCAGTTCAGCTTAAACAGCGGCTTGCTCTCCCCTGCACAATGATTTTGCGACCTTACTTGATGCTGAGCACAGAGCTCCGAGGTCAAACGCCCAGACCTTAATGTTTGTTGGAGGTTTACATTGAATTGGTGGTTGATCAAGAAACATTTCATTAGTTTCATCCATGGAAGGACCATTAAGTTGAAGTTGAGGGCATGTCGCTTCAATTTTGCTTCATTAGTGCCAGCCTTGAGGCAAGCCCCGGATTGTATGGTGGATGTCAGGAGCGCTGTGACTTTGACTCTGACGACTCTGGGACAAGCACCGTGTTTCGCTGCACTCCGACTGGCCAGCAAGATGGTCAGTCAAGCCACAGACCAACGTGGGCTTTTTCACCAAAGGGCCTAACTAAGCAGAGCCGGTAGTATACGGTCTTGTCTTGTTCAACTCCAATCCCTTGTGGCCAAATGCCTCCATTGGAGCAATGACGAGTGGATTGCTCTGTGTGTTTCGAAATATTGTAATGCAATCTACAATTATTACGCCGTGCAGTGTGCACCAGGTTTATCGAAGCATCGTTTGAAAAGATCATTTTGATCATTCTTGATCGAATCAACGTGTTTTCTGAAACAATGTTTCGAGGACAACGTTACTACGAACCTTACTACGGTGGGTATATAGCTGCAGCTACAGTGAACAACTTCCTCGTCGGCTGGCAGTGTATTTTCGAGCTTCCACATTCTCAATCTCTCGAGCGTGCTGATCACTTTTCAAGTTTCCACACATGAGTAGCCGAGTAGCCTCTCTTCAAAAAATTGCGTCCATGGACCTGTTGAGTGTCCACATCCGGAACGTCTCGCTCTTGAATGCTTTTGACAATGCTGGCAGATACGCTCTTTGAATGACAGCTGGCTTTGGGAACAAACACATACTTGTTCAAAGGGTTTCTGTACGCTCCCCCAAGAATAGCCCCATGCAATGTTATGTTATATTTGAAAATCAACAACAACAACAACAACAACAACAACAACAACAACAAAAACAACAAAAACAACAACCACAACGACAACAACAACAACGCTTGACGCGCTTTCCGCTTGACTAGGAAAATCAGCTCAGGCCTCCAAGAGTTTTGTGTAGATTGTGTAGACTGGACTCAGTGTCATGAGCGCAGACCACCGAGTCATCGACTAGCCCTGCCAAAAACGTTACTTGTATGACAAGTGCGTCCACGTGGCCGACATAAATACTTGCGAAGGAGACTCCTGGAGAAGACCAGTAGCCACACTTCGCAGGATCACATTGAGTAACCGGATTCTTCATATTACTGGTAGTCTATGGCAATCACAAAATTAGCCGGAACATGCAAAGGCATGCAAAGGCATGGGTTGCAAGATGTTGCAAGATTTCGTGGCTTCTGGATGGGCGCTGCCGCAAAGGGGACAGACGGGTGGGGGCGAGACAACTATGCGACAAGTTTGCAATCGGTTGGCCAACGACGTACGATGTGCAGTTTGTCTCTGAGATGGAAAGAGCCTTCACCGTTGTTGAACACATTGTGAAGAATTGACTTGGCCTGCTTGGAAGACAAGACTTCAAAACCAGGCATTCAAGCGCACTGAAGGTCTTAGACTTGGACAATTACAGTCTCCAGTAGCTTGTGTGTGTGACCCAATGTTTGGCATCGCCCAACCCCTTGTCCACGTTCACAGGGACAATGTCTTGCTTTTGTTGCTTTAGCCACTGCCTGGCCTTGCAATCAAGCCAAGTGCAGTTCTTCACAACCGTTCTCGACCAATGCTGCAAACTCACTGTTTTTTGGGCAAATCAACACGCTTTGCTTTCTTGCCGTCTCAACCGCTGTTATGCACTGAGTGCTTATCATTCTCGATCAGTCAGTGCAACCAGCATTTGTGGACCCATGGATTGAAACTCGGTTTCGGCTTCCAGGAGTGCCAGGAGTGCATGCGCATGTCTTCGACTTTTTTTGCGGGGGGGAATCTCCGCTCTCACGACAAGGTCAACAAAGGAATTTGCAGCCTTGGGATGCTTGCCATGGTGCCTCCGGATTGAGAAGCTCCCCCTGCAACACCTTCCACTCTTCGAATATACCGCACAAACGCTGCTTCACCTTGTCCGGGTATGTCGGGGTTGGTTTTTGCTGGAACTCAAAAGGCTGGTTGATGTACCACAAGGACCTCTTGGCATTCCGTGGTATGTTTGAGCCGTAAGTCTTTCCAAGCTCTGTTGATGTCATAGGTTTGACTCGACCGTTTCGGAGCATCGTCATCACCCAAGACAGGCTTGGCAATGGCAACGTATTCTTACATCTAGTGCCATTTGTGGTCTGCTTTTAGTTGAAACTGTTAATATCTAGGTTGGAGATGGTTGGAAGCCATCGCTACTAGGTTGGAGTCTATTGCTATAGTTTGGAGGCCATTGATACTGGCTTCCTCGCACAAGTCAAGTCCTTTGTAGTTTTAAAGCTTGGTTATTGTCATCATTGCGCGGAAAGCTGCGAAAGACCTTTCTTGAAGACTTTCCTCCACTTCTGCGTGTTCAAACGCGGCGATGGATCTAGGCATTCCAAGACGTGACCTGGCATATCAGGGCTATGCTATGCAACATGTCCTTCAATGAGCATTTGCTGCTTTGACATGGAGTGTTGCTCTTCGAGAAGGGCTATCTTTTTCCGTGCTATCATGTTTTGCAGGCCTGTCAATGAAACTGCAGCTGGCTGTCCTTGCGCTGAGGGTCTGCCTGTAACTGACGAAAGGTTTGACTGGTCGTTGCGGATCACAGATCTTCACCTCATTGCTGCAGCCTTGGCTGTGCACGCGAAATTTGCTCGCCTGTGCACGCGCTTTGAATTTCTCGGTTGTGCACGCGCTTCCTCGGTTGCGCACGCCGCTTTGCTCGGCTGAATGAATGAAATGAAATGAAATGAAATGAAATGAATGAATGAATGATATGAAGGAATGAGTGAATGAATGAAGGAAGGAAGGAATAAAGGAACGCAGGTATACATGAAAGACTCAATGAATGAAATGAATGAGTGTGCTGCAAGTGCTTCACATTCATATTGACACCCCCAACCTTCAGCTTGTCCAGAGGGGCGTTTTTAACACCCCCATCCCCCCCCACCCCCTATCCCAACCCAACAACATCAATCAAACGCAGAGCATCTGTGTTACATGGTACTGTGGAAGCAATTAGCAAAAAGAGATCATCATGTGTATGAAAGTCCGGAGGGACGCTATTAACACCCCCCCAACCTCACCCCCCCCCCCTCCACCCCCACCCCCCTTCCCCAACCCCAGCTGACCCCAACAACAAATGTAAATTTCATCAGAAAACGAGCATGTGTGTGGAGACCTGACCCAACGACATATCATGAAAGCATGACATATCATGTTCACATCACATCAACTCAATTTGTGTGTGCGCAGGTGAGCGAAATCTGTGTGCGCAGGTGAGTTTGAGGTACCAGTGTTGTACAGGTTCCTGTGTGCGCAGGTGAGTTACTTGTACCAAGAAATGCTGTGTGTACAGCTGAGCGAATCTTGCGCGCGCGAGTGAGGCACCGTCCTTGCTGCAGCAGAACGAAATTCACCGCGGCCACTCAGACCTGGTGGTGCTCTAGTGGAACGATTTGATCCATGTACATGGCGACAGTCTAAATGAATGGCAAACCACGTCAACTAACAAGATCGTAAAGCCGCAGACCCACGCATGCGGGTTTGTTCACCAAAGATACCAAAGGGCCTAACTAAGGAAAAACATTTTGACCGTTGTGGTGTTGTTCATTTCCAAGCCCTTGTGGCCAGATGCCTGCATTAAGAATCATATATAGAGACCCACATGTTTCAGTGCACTCCGACTGGTCGATGGGTTGCACGAAGTTGTTGTTGTTGTTGTTGTTGCTGTTGTTGTTGTTGTGGGCGCCCAGGAGTTTGCGACAAGGGACCGGCGAGATGATGGTACGCTCACAAACCAATTTGACAAAAAGGCCGGACATTTCCACAAATCACGATGCACGGAGTGTGGACCGAGAGGGGCTTTGACGACTTTGGAAACAATATTAAGTGGATAAAGAGCTGGCTGGTGTGTATGCTTGCGTTGCACAGCCAGGAATGAATCAGTATTTCTTGTGCGGATGAAGTGCTGAAGTCATTTGCGAGATCACAAAAGCAGGGGTTGGTCCGTGGCGTGGCATCCTTTGCCAGGGAGAAGCGTTCCATATTCAAGAAGGCGCTTTGGGCGTGTTGCTGGGCTGAAAAAGCGGCAGAGAGGTGACGAGTCTTTGTAGGGGCGGATATCAGGATACAAAAGGTTTGAACTTGACAAGAAACTCGGCCACACGAGGTTGGGCAGAAGTATGGTTTGGCTCTCAGAATTTGCCAGGTTACGAAGCTAACCGTAGAGTGAAATTTCTCAAGCCCTCAGCCATTGCAAGTGGAACAAAAACTGCACAGTGCCATCAGGTACAGCTTTCTCGAGGCGTTCCCGCTTCTAAACAAATGCTGCCGTTGTGACAAACTGAGAGTTCGGGTCAGAACAGTGAGGGAGAGAGAGAGAGAGAGCGAAAGCGAAACAGTGTTGTAGCAAACCAAAAACAATGAAGTACCCGGAGAACCCAAACAAGCAGCTGGGTGTTTATCCAACCAACAAACGCCCAGGGGTGTCTTTTGCAGAGGACAATGTTTCCGTAACTTGGAAGTTGTCCACGGGATATTTACCGAAGACAACGTTTCCGTAACTTGGAAGTTGCGCTCGAAGGAAAAAGGCTTTCCATAGCTCGGAGTGTTTTGCCCGTAGCTCGGAAATTCGATTTTTTTAGAATATTCATTCCCCAGGATTGAGTTGATGGTTTTCCATTTTTCCATCCAGAACCATGGTTCCTGCAGATGCCAGTTTCCCGCTGTTCCCTAAGGGCTCCGATGTGCATAATACGCGCGCAAAGAATTTTTGGACAGACAAAGTGACACAGTCATGGTTTCGATGAATTTTCTGAACATGTGTCGGCTTTTGAACGGAAGACTCGCCGCAGGTCACGAATTTAAGTTCACGTCTAATTTTTAGGAGTGGAGCTCTCGGGGCGCATGGCATGCAGCAGGGGCGTTGCAGCCATGCACGCAGGGGCCTGCCGCATTTACGCAGGCGTGCACGTTCTTGGGATCTGCAGCTGGATCGTTCAATGAAGGATTAATTTGGTATACAGATGCGCAAAATGTGACGCTCTCTTACTTTCAAAGGCTTACGGCTCAAGGGCGGCGCGCAGACATCCATGGATGGGTCTCGGTTCCGGCCCCCGGTGAGGTTTGATTTTCCAAAGGCCCTTCCCAAAAAAAATGTTTTTGACTGCCCCGATGCGTGCGTTACGACGCAACGTCTTCACGTGGAGAGCCAGCTCCCCAGCTCCCCGCCCCCTGAGCTCGAGCGATCTCCCCCTGATATGGAGCCACCTCGCACGAGGGAGACGGCGCAACCTCGTCGACAGGAAAGGGTGGAAGTGTACCCACCTGTGTCGCTGGAGCAAAGGTTGGAACTTCTTCTGGCTGAGTACGGTGAGGATGACAAGGCCCAACAATTAATATTTTCATTCATGCAAAGATATGGAAACAGCAGACCTGGACATTTTCAATTGGCTCCCTTTTTTTCACCCTTGAACAATGTTTTTCACCTTACCTTCTTTTCCCACCCTCGAAACCTTTTTTCACCCTCAAGATTCCTTTTTTCCCCCACCCTTTGGAACCTTTTTTCCACCTTTCCAAAATCTTTTATTTTCACCCTGCACCCTGTCATTTTCACCCTTTCTTTTTCACCCTCGACTCTGTCTTTTCAACCCTCCGCCGGTGAAGCCAGTAACCCCTAGAACCTGCACAGAGAACGATGTCACCTCCGGTTTGTTTCACAACGCTTGTCCCTGCACCTGCCAAACCTTTTGTTTTCACCTCAATAGCTTCTTGTTACTAGCCCTTCGGAACCCTCCGGAAACTGCGTAGACACTGTCCGGAACGACGGGAACCGCCGGAAACTGACCCGGACGCCTCTGGAACGTGAGGCAGCGCAGGATCCATCCATCCATCCGTGCATCCATCCATCAACGGAGTGCCAACCAACCGACCAACCAACCAAGCAACAACGTGGCCAAACCAACAACCAACGAAGCAACCAACAAACCATGCAACCAAACCACATAACTCCGTGTTTTCCCCAAGTGCTGTAGATACTAGAAATCCCGCGCGGGGGAGGCTTGATTTTTGCATTGCAGGGGAGGTGCTGCGCCCTCCCCATTTACACAGCACCCACCCATCCACGCATCCATCACCGGAGCGCCAACCAACCGACCAACCAACCAAGCAACAACGTGGCCAAACCAACAAGCCCACCAAGCAACCAACAAACCAAGCAACCAAAGCAAACAACAAGCAAACCAAATCCAAGCAAACAACAAGCCAAGCAGCCAAGCAGGCCGAACCAATCAACACACCAACCAAAGGAAGGAGAGTAAAAAAAGAAAGGGTTGGTAGCCCACCAGCAGCAAACAAACCAAGCGAGCAAACGTTTTCCCCAAATGCTGTCGATACTTGTTTTGCATTGGTAGCCCACCAAGCAACCAACAAACCAAGCCTTTTACACTCCATCCATTTATGCGTCCATGCATGCATCCATCCGCGCCCGCCATTATTTACAGACCATCCATCCACCCACCCATCAAACAAGCAAGCAACAAACAAACCAAGTAACCCAAACCACACAACCCTGTGTTTTCACCGAATGCTTTCGATACTTGGTTTGCGTTGCTGGGCGGGCGCTGCGCCCTCCCCCGCACCCCCTCCCGCCTTCATTTACACAGCATCCATCAATCCATCCATCCACCCATCCACCCATCCATCAACCAAGCACACAACAGAAAAAATGCATGTCCATCAAGCACTGTATCACGCAAGCAATCAACAGCAAGCAAACCAAGCAACCAACGCACCAAAAAGTTACATTTTTCTCCTTGTCCATGATCATTTATCACTGTATGTGTTTTCCCCAAATCCAAGCAACCAACAAGCCAAGCAGGCCGAACCAACCAACACGCCAACCAAAGGAAGTGGGGTAAAAAAGAAAGGGCGGGTGGCCCACCAAGCCACCAGCAAACCAAGCAACCAAACTGTTTCCCCCAAATGCTGTCGATACTTGCTTTGCATTGGTAGCCCACCAAGCAACAAACAAAACAAGCAACCAAAGCCACGCAACCCGCTTTTGTTGATGTCATCCTCTGCGTGCGTCGCAGCAGCACCTTTTCGCAAATATCGCTGGCGCATCTTTGGGGTCAACTATATTCAAAAGGTTGTTACAGCCCAACACACTGCTCTTCAAAAAGGAAATGCAAAGCCGCACGGTAATGGCGGCAAAGCTTGGCAGACTGTTGGGGAACTTTGTCCTCGAGTGCATGTCTGGGCTATGGACTGCATCTTTTGTATGACACTTGCTTGTAATGTCAAAGTTTATGTGTTTCTTTGCCAGCCTCAACTTGGAAAGCTTAAAATATTTATTTTTTCACTGCAGACGTTTCAGCAGTATCATTTGCGTTATGATTTTTGACTTCGTTTGTTTTATCATTATGTATTTTAATGTTCCTTTGTTTGTGATTTTGAATTTCGTCCATTCTTCTGGCTAGTAACTAGCCAGAAGAGTGGAACATAGGCCGAAACAAGAAAATGGATAGTAATCAAGTCCAGTCCAGTCCAGGCTAGTAATTAGCCAGCTTAGCCTTAGCAGAAAAAATGAGCTGGGTGTGCAAAAAAAACACACGTGTCACAGAAGCCGCTCTGCTTCACTTTTTTCCAGGCACTTTCTGCGAGCAGTTTTGCAGAACAACGATTGGCTGCATGCCTTGACCACAGCAAACAAGCCATCTCAAACAAAGCTCGCTGTTTGCGTTGCAAGAACTATCGGATCAACATCTATCTATCTATCTCACTAGCTGCTAGCTAGCTAGCTGCTGCTAATTGCTAATTAAGAAGACTGCAACAACATTAAATTAACATCCACACCTCATTCCTAGTGCTTGGCACTAGAACAGTGGATGATTTGTGGGTAAAGCGGCTTCGGCTTTAGGACTTTAGGCCTTGAGTGACACATCCTCCATACGAAAGCCATATGGCGTGTATGGTCTAACTGCCTCACATCCATTCTTCAAATAGTGCCTCTTGACATAAACGCATTCAACCTTGGCCACATTGGCCTTGGGCCTGGGAAGCTTTGGTGGTGTTTCAAACTTGGCTTCCCTCTTCTGTGGCTCAGGCAACTCAAAAAGAAACTGATTTGGCGACCTGACGGGTTTCCAGGTTGCGGTGGACCAGGTGGAAAATTCTCTGAAAGGTAGCGGCGTTCGGCCACCACTTCAGGAGGAGAACTCCACAGCTGTCAGGTCCAATCTTCTCATCCCAAGTAACAAAATCAACCATAGGGATTGATCTGCCACATGAAGGGGCTGGTGAACCAGGAGCTGACATTGCCCTTCGCTCAGCGATCACTTCTGGTGGAAGAAGACCGTCGCAGACATTCTGGTTTTCGCGTTCATGTCCATACGCCATCGCTGACTGCTGGTACCGCTCGACCGTATTCAGCCAGTGAAGCCAGGCTCAGATTGTGTCAGCCAGAAATGGCTGAAAGCGAAAGGAAACTCAACAAACAAACATGTTCTGTTCTGCAAGGCACATCCCTTGCCACACTGCACAGCACTGCCAATCAAAGTCTGTTTTGCAGTTTTGCCGTTTTCAAATATTGCCTTTCCAGAATGTTTGTGTGTTTATGCGTGTGAAAATTGTGGATGTATATACAGTAGTTTATGTCATATCACGTCACATGTATGCGAGTGAGTGGGTGTTTCTTGCATTGCACACAAAGTCTCTCTCTCTCTCT